CACACACACTTTAAAGTGTTTTTAAATTTGTTGTTCAATTCGGAAGCATGATCATACGCGAACAGTTTTGTTGTACCCTTCTATTATACTTACTAATTGACCAGCACACTTTCATATTTGATCTTTCGACAAGTTTCTAGTTAATTTAACCCGTATGAAAATCACAGCAAAAGATTTAAAAAATATCATTACCATGCTATGATCTAACAATACTAGTGCGTACTAGACATAGAAGAGACATATATATAAATATCACAGGTATGTCAAACACATGAACCAGCAAGAGAATTAGCAGTTCATGCTATCTAGTTGGGTAGGTCAAGGTTGTGGTGGCAACGAAAACCTTCTTCGTGGCATTATCCTTGCCACCCATGGCGAATTTAGTGAAGTTGCAAAAGAAGTTAAAGTGCTGGTGGTGAGCGGTAGCGCTGAGACGCTCTCCAAAGATCTTAACACCTTCCCTCCAGTATAGGATCGCAAAAAGGTGCAATCATGGTGATTTTCTCACCTTTAGAATCATGCGTGTGATCTTTGCAAGTAGCAATGGCAAGAGGAAGGATGACATGTGTGCGAGAAGGCGGAGCATGTGATATGACCATATGAAAGCTAGATCCCACTATACCACATAGATCTGGAAACTGATGTTATTAATATGTTGGGTGGCCCCTATCCCGACCAGCAAAAAAACCACATTCATGGCATGGATCTGAGTCTGCCTTGGCTCGGGTCATTCATCAACCACGAGCTGGACATGGCGAGGCGGGCGGCAGAGGAGGAGTTCACATGTACCACACTTCTTTCTCATGCTCTAGTGGGATGTGAGGGAGAGTTCTTTGTCCAAACTCTCATCCGCTTCACATGTAGGACTATATTCTCACCTATGCCATGACACCACAAATAAGATTTTAAACTTTAATTCAGGAAAAATGAATATGTGGGCCTAAATCTCGTATGTAATTCAAAATTTCATATGTGACCGCATTTGAATTATATTGGGTTTAATAGTCAAACAACAATTATAGTGGGCTTGATGTATTATTAAAATAAAAATAGTTTCGCAATTGTAGTTTTAAAAATAATTGTTAATATTGCTATAATAGAAATTCACATGTCAAAATATATAGTGTGGACCATCTACCTACTGAACGTCAATTGAAGATAGATATCAACCTCCCAAGTTAAAGAGGTGGCTTTAATTTAGTTGTTGGTTATCGCAAATTTGCCTATGCACATCTCAAAAAATTGCACCATGCTCTCTACTCATTTTGCTACAAGGTATACGGTCCTCCCTCTAGTGTTATTGAAGCTTAAACCCTAGCCATTAGGTGGCAGTTGATGAATGCTATCTGATAAGATGGAGAACTTGCACCTAGGGTGGTACCAAGTAGTATAAACAATTAGAAGGCAACCATGTCAGATTATGCCATGGTTGTGGATTTGACAGAAGAGAAAAATTAAGCATAGTTCTAATCTAGACCAGCCATGTCACCATTGAGAAGGGACTTTGAACTGGAGAAAGTTCGATGGGTGAAAGTATTGAAAGTATTGTGGTCGTCATGTCAAGCAACAATTTACCGATAGATCGGGTGCACCGGTAGCAGTTCAAGTGGTCATATAGAATTCAGAGGTTGGTGAAGAAGTGATTTGGGAAGATTAGAACATTACATTTATGTAAGGATGAAGTAGTGCATGCATAGATATACTATAAAGTGAGTGAATTTCTTGCTCTTAAGTTCCATAAAGCCCTTCTTTTTGAAAAAAAATGATGATTATATTTAAAGTTTCAATTTTTTGAATAAAACACACATAAACATTGAGATGTTTACTAAAATTCTATAAATTTTCATGGTCAAATTTGCTTTGGCTAAGTTGTATAGAAACAAAAAATCATAGACTTTATAGTGAAAATAATGCATGTGCTAGAAAGGCATGGTTTTCTTTGTAGCATGAACCACAACATATTTCGTCATGTAAATTTATGGAGATGTATTATACATCCCCAGATTCATGTGTAAATTTTTCAGACTATTTTGAAACTTCAAAATATGGTTTTTGTAATAAAAAATTCGGCCGCATGGAGCCGGAGATCCAAAAGCATTTTCCGAAAAGATAGCAGTTACTAGATGTGTAGTACAAAATAATAGTTTTAAACTTTATTTTTCAGTTACTCCTTACATAGATGGGCATTCTTCTTTCTTTCTTTTTTTCTATTTTGCGGGGAGCATTATACTTTTTTTATGAGAACATTGGACTTGAGCAAGCATAATAACAAAATGTACTCCCTCCAATCCATATTAATTGGTGCTGATTTAGTATAAAGTTATACTAAATCAGCCGCAATTGCTTCCTTTTTTTTAATGATTGTAAAGACCCATGCATGGCAATGGCAACGCCCTTGATTCACACGGCAAAGAGCATGTCCGGAACGAACAACAGCACTTGGCCCACCGGCCGGGCGGGACCGGGCCGTTTTTAATACGAGTAGCACGAGCCAGAAACGCGGGCCAGCGCCCTCCTCCTCCTCCTCCTCGCGCGCTGCCAAGCCAATAACAGCAGCCCAGGGCAGGGCAGCAGACGATTCAAATATTGAATGCAGGAATGTAACGGTGCATGATTGAGCACTGGGGTCGTCCCAGGACAGGACCCTTCCCATTCAATACCGTGATGGCCACAACTCACGCTTCCACGACTCTCATCATGACTAGGTTAGCCACCACCTCGCAGGTGCTGCCCAAGCTAATTAGCTAAGCACGCCCTTACGTCATAACATGGATATCTTTAGGCCTAATCATCATTGTACGGCGGGGCAATTGGGCCGACGCCGACTGCTTAATTTGTACTGGCCCGTGATGGGAGCAAGCGGGCACACTGCTAGAGCTTGACAAATCATCACTTGATCG